TGAGCCGTGAACCCGAAGTGGTAGGATGTGAAACTACAGAAGATGAGAATGAATGAAGAGTAGACAGACAGAGTGTGATTTGGTGATTGGATAATTGGTGTGAAGGCAGTGGAGTTAAGGAAGACTTCTGACAACTCTAGATTGGGGTGATTGAGTAGCTGTTTTCCTGTGTTTATTTATGTCCCCCTCTTTCTTCTTTCTCCTAAGAACCATACAGGGTAAGGTGGCACTTCCCTCGTTTATTCTAAGTCTCCCAACTACCCTCTCTACTTCTGCACAGTTTCATTCCACTTCATTTCCGCAACAGTGGCCAGAATAGTTTTCAGAAAGGGAATAGATACGGAAGTCTAGTCTTCAAAATTGTATTGATGACTAAATAAAATTACAGATTTTTACATAACATCGAGATGACCCTGATCACTCCTGGCACCGTCTCTAGGTGCCATTGGTGCCACTTCATCTGTGTACAAGAAACCTTAACCTTCAGCCTCCTTTCAGGTTCCAAAATGGACTCACCTTTCTGTCTTCAGTCTCTATATCGATCCTGTGTGTTGGGTGTTTCCTCCTCCCTGTGTGAGAAGGTTTACTTCTGTTCTGCAGCTCTGGGATACGTGCCCTTTCCTTAGAGAAGGCAATCCTGTCCTTCCCCTTCACCTCTTTATATTCCATAGTTGCTCTTTCATCCCACCATTTAATACCAGTGTGTAAGTGTGTGTCTGGGGGTACGGCATTTTACGTCTTTCTCCCTCCAGGGTCTGTGAACTCGGACAACTCCATTCTTTCCCTCACCATAGGCCAGTGTATATGGGACAAACAGTAACTGTCAGTCACTGTTTGGATCCCCTCATCTAAAATAAAACAGTCATACTGAACAATATTTAAACCATTTTAAGGAAGAGTAGGAACAGGTAATTAGAGCTAGCCAGATGTTTCCAGTTTAAATAATAATAAACCAATTTTTACCATTACTTTACTCTTTAAAAGTCACTGGGACACCATTTTAATCCCATAATATCTTGTAGGCTTTATTTTCCATGTGAAATAACCAAAAAGCAGCTGAGCTGGGAAACTGAACACCTTTCCTTGTTAGGGGGAGGTGACAGAGGAGAGTGACAGACTTCTGAGAGAAGGTGGTAATCAGGAAAACAGTTTACCTGAACAGGCTTCTCAGTGAAGACTCTTTAGTTCCTTTTCAGTCTAAACAATGGGCCGTATTTTTGGGGATACATTATTAAAAATGCATTCTTTATAGTCCAGAGTGTCATTAGTTCCACTTGAAATGGCCGTTTCAAGTGTTCCTGCAGGACATGTAGTTGTGTCTTTTCTGGATAATGTATTCTCCCTTAAATTCATCTACAAACTTACAAGTGGCTGAAGCACTTGCCTTTTAATGCCCTTTGAAGTCCTTCTATTGCTGCATTTTAGGTAGAGTTAAGTTGTACACAATTTTAAATAGAATTCTCTAGGTGTAATGGTGCATGGCTATAATCCGGAGATTATTCTGGAGGCAAAGACATGAAGATAGAGATTTCAAGGACAGTCTGGGGTGTAAATAGTGACACTCTGCGTCAGAACTGAAAAGAATACAACCCACATGATTAACCTGACCATAGGCTACTTTGTGAACTTTTCATTTCTCGTTCTACACAATGACTTGCAGTTCTGGTTTTGCACACAGATGATGGTGCCACCTTAGACTCTGAAGTGCATGCCTATTTTCCTGTGTCTGCATCCTTTACGGGTGAAATGATTGCACAGATGATAATGCCGTGTAAGTAACAAGGTCGTCCTGGACACAGGAGAGTTGTACGACTGTAGGTGTTCTGAACAGTCAAGTCCTGCAAACAGCACATGAAGCAGAGTGCTCCTGGTTGTCAGGGCTGCAGTCTTCTTAGCTGGAAACGGCTTCAGTCCACATCAGGCAATCCCATGAAGAAGGGCCGTCTGCATCAGCCAGCAGAGGGTGGTGTACACATAAGAGTCAGCCACTGGCCTGTGCGGCTCCTTTGGCAAGTGTTAGAATTCCTAGATGGCTTATGTTTAGAATTAGCAGCACTGATAGCCCAGCGGTAAAGGGTTCTGTCTAAAGTGGAGCTCTGAAGTGTGTGCTACCATAACGTTGCTGTTTCAGGAGGAATGGCCTCTAAATGTCAAACTCCATTTGAAAGGACCCACTAATCTACCATGTGGGAAATTGACTCAGTCATCTCTGTGTTCATATAACTTCGAGCTTTTAAGAAGGACAGAAGTATAATGAAAAAAGCATGAGCTTTTGATGTCTGACTCAGGCTACAGTCTGGCGGTACTGCGTTCCAGCTGTATGGCTTGTGGCAGATTGTTAAAGCTCTTTCAATCTCTCTTTCTCCATCTCCAGAATGTAGATGAAAAGAATGCAGAAAATTAAATAATTACCTTAGACAAGACTCGGTTGATAACAAATACGTAGTAGTTCTTTTTTGAATGAACTTGTCTGTGCCTTGTAACATTTACAGTTGCTGCCTGTCTTTGAATGGTGAGAGGTCTGAGAGCTGTTGGGTTCTGTGTTTTCCTGCTGACACTTCGCTCCTGGCTAAGAAGCGGCAGCAGACAGTAGTGAAATCAGATGGAACGCCTGGTTCGTTTCTGTCTGTCTGCTGCTCTCACCCATGGCTGTTACCACTGCATTGGGCACGTCTCTCCTCTCCTCTTCGCCACCGCAGTTTTCACTGGGGGGTTCCTATGTGCTTTTTTTTTTTTTTTAAAAAATTCATATACGTGCAGTATTTCATGTTTATTAAAAATGTACAGGATTGAGGTTCTGTGATATATAAATGACACCATGATTGATAGCTGTAGACAGGTTTGGAACTGTTAGAAAAACCAAGTCAAACACCATGCATGCTTGAGTGAATGAGGAAGCCCAAGGACTGTTGTTGCTTCTGGATACTCTTCTTTCAAAGAAACACGTTGGCCTTCAAGATACTGAGTTTAAAAAAAAAAAAAACAAGGGAAAACAGAAAACAAAGACAGCAAAAGAAAACTTCCAGATATTCCTGATGGAAATGGGCAGAGAATGTGAATAGAGAAGAGTAGTGAACAGTCATGGAAAATAGCTTCTCAAGTGTGAGTTTGGTTAAAGGGGACTCAAGATGGGCGAGGAGAGAAAGAGGAAACAAAAATAGAATTTGCTATTTGTTTCGAATTGTGGTGATGTCATTTGATGTGGCATTTCTATATATGTGATGATAGATGTTCCGTGAGGAACATTTTTCAGTTAGGGTGTTTCCACATAGGTGGAAACTTCAGCCACAGTCCCTGAACCGTCTGGCTTAGCTCAAAGCAAGACATAACTGCTGCCAGATCCTGGGCTGCTCAGGGGGTTTGGAGCTTTGGGGCTCCAGGAGGTTCTGCAGTGTTCTGCTTCACAGTCGGGGATAGTTGATCTTGAAAGTGGTCCTTTGAGCACGGGACTCATCCACTTACCTGACACAGATTCCTGGATATGAAAAGAATGAGGCTTTTTCCCGAGCAGTTGCATTTCAGTGGCTAATGGTCCTAGACCAACTTTTGTATGTCTTTGCTGCCTTGTCTCTGTGGCACTGAGGAAAATACAATCTTTTAGGGTTTATTTTGCCCTTACTGCGCAGACTCCCATTTTTTTGTTGTTGTTGTTGTTTTGTTTTGTTCTTGTTCTTGTTTCCTTATGAGCTCATATTGATTGTTCAAAATCGTGGTGTGACATTTTCATCTGTGCCTATACTGCACTTTGGTATTTTCTCATTCTGTATCGCTGGTTCGTCTTATTCATCTCTTTTAGTTCAATGGTAATTTACTTGCCAAACTATCTCTTTGGTCTATAAAGGAAGCCTGTTTCCCACAGTGCTTGACTTTTGTCTTCTCCCTCCTTGATGAAGTCATGTTAGAAGCTTGGGTCAGAGAGATATGCTACCTGGCTCTGTGGCGTTGTGCTGTACCTAATCCTCCTCACTGGGGGAGGGTACTCCATGAAGTTATGTGGGATGCTTTGAGAGGTTATGTGTGGCATGTATATATGTGAGAGTGTGTGTGCGTGTGTGTGTGTGTGTGTGTGTGTGTGTTATAGGAGCCATAAGGAGAATAGCAGACAGAAAAGGCAGGGCTGGGAGGGACTTGTTGCTGCTGTACTGATTCTTGTGCCAGAGAACAAAGCAAGATGTCATTCAGCAAAGTGATGTGTAAATGTAAACTAAACTCCCAAAAGTCCATGCATAATTGAATAGGAATTTAAAGAAATACATAGGACATCGGACTTTATTTTTACTTAGGTTTGTTTCATAACTTGAAATCGTTTACATAGGACATCGGACTTTATTTTTACTTAGGTTTGTTTCATAACTTGAAATCGTTTGTGAAATTGAGTGAGAGGCTAATGTTTCATGGTTTCTATCAGTCTTCTCTCATCTAAACTGGAATGCTGGGTCATTCTGACCCAGATTGACTTTTCCAGTGCCCGGTGACTATCTGTCTGAGTACCAGTCCTTGTTCGTCTGTGAAGTCTCCATCTTCTCCCTGTATCTGTCTGATCTCCTGTGTTGGAATCCTTTGTTGCACTAATGGTATGGATATAGTGTGGAGCTTTGTGTGATTTTACGACATCACACAACTGCCAGAGTGCCTTGGTCCATACCTTCCTCCTTGAGTAGAAACTTCTTTGGTATTAGCCCTAGCCCCGATGATTTCAATGTGTGTTAAACCAGGAATGACAAGGTAGTTTTAGTCTGACCATGTTCTCTGGAATTTTCTCTCTGCCCTGAGTGATGACATGGTCTCTTCCGTGCAGAGCTCTGAGAATCTGGTGAGGTGAAGTGAAGCTGCTTTGAATTCCCAAGTGTGATGCAGACGTAGACTGTGTGTTCTCACAGGAAAGCCAAGCAAATGGACCTTGGAGTGTGGCTTTGCTTAGAGTTATGACTGCCATGGTTAAAGGCTAACTGAAGAAATAACTGACATGTCTTTATATTTTGTATTTTCTATCCTATCAGAACCGGGACCAGTATTCACACCTGCTGAGTGACCATTTTCTGCCATACCAAGGTCATAATTCCTTTCGTGAGAAATATTTTAGTGGTGTAACAAAAAGAATTGCCAAGGAAGAAAAATCTAGCCAAGAGTGAAAATAGGATGTTGACAATCAAGAAAGAATAAGCATTTTATAGAAGAGACTTTTGGAAATGAATTTGTGTGTATGATCTAGAAAACCCTGTGCTGTTTTATATAAATAACTGCTATGAATCAAAACTGAATAATTTCAGAATGATCTTTGTTTTAGAGACTATTTTGATGGGCCTTTTGGACCTTGTTAAGTTTCAGGGACTGATACATATAGATGGACTTGGTGTTTATATTTTTTACAAAGAAAATATTGTTAACTTTTTAGCCATATCTGCCAGATATATAGTAGGTAATTAATAGTGCTTTAGAATATTTTCATTTTGTAAATTTGCTTGGTTTGGTTTTTAGTTGTAACTGTTTTTCTTTGCTACCAATAAACTTTACTGAGAATTTCTGAAAATTGTGTGGTACTAAGTATTTCTCGTCTCATCTCATGGAGAGCTTTGAGGGAAATGAATGTTTAACCATCAGTCCCATACAGGTCATAACAGCAGTGGCTGTTCTGCTGGGTGGCAGGCTAAGGCCTGAGAACTGCAGAGATTCCAACCCCAACACCTCCAAGAGCCTGTGCATCTGAATTTGCTCTTGCATTCCTAAAACTTGACTGTTGTTCAAGTTAACTAACTACCCCCAATTTTTGGTGTAGAAAGTAACTGATGGTTAAATTCAGGAACAACAGCTCAAGTCCCTGATGACCCCCTAGTGGTATGAAGCCTAATCAGTACTCTGTGAAACAGAAGCTGTATTTTTCTTGAAGGGGAAACTTTGCTGAGTCTACATTGTGTCCATCATGGAAATATCTTCTTTGAAAACCACTGTACCCATTAATTCTGGATGCTAATGGCTTTGCTTTTGGTGGTCAAATGTACCTCAGTGGGGCGGCAGTAAATGGATACTTTCTGTCTAACCAGAGCCTATTTTTATTTGTGTTATTATTATTATTATTATTATTATTATTCTTTTACTGTGACTGCTGAGTTTTATGAACTCACAATATTAACTTACATGGCTTAGGAGCTGCAAAAGACCAATGCTGCTGAGTGGGGTCAGGCGTTCCGCTGCGGTCCTGTCTTGTCATGCGTGCAGCGCTGGATTTCAGCACGTCTAAAACCTTTCCTGATTGTTTTGTTTGGGTTTCTGGATGTTATTTGTGGTACACTGGGGAAAATTTTAAAGTATTCAAGGATGATTTATTTGCAGTATTTCTGTTATACACCATCTTATTTTTAAGTTTTTGAGGTTATGTGGGGGATGGGTATGAAACTGTGTAGCTGACGCAGTTGGAATATGAGATTTTTTAGTTTAACCCCTTTTTGTGGATCGTCTCAAACTTCATCCAAATAAGTTCTAGAAATTCACATTAATTTTAGTCACTTTGTCCTTAAAAATTAACTCATAGTAAAAAAAAAAAAAAAAAAACCAAATTATTTCCGTTACTATTAATTGAAGTCCTCTGGACATCAGTTCTTCCAACTGTGAGGTTTCTTTTCATATTTATTAGTACGTTCAGCTTCCTATTCCTGAAGTGTCAAAGTTTAAGCATATGTAGTTGCTTTAAAATTGAAACTCGTAAGTGATGGAGACACTTGATAACTTCCAATCAATTTTGATTTTAGGATATAGGTCTTAAGTGGTCTCCCTCTTTTATAAAATTTTCTTTATTTATTATCATCATTATTATTAATTTGTGTGTGTGTGTGTGTGTGTGTGTGTGTGTGTGAGAGAGAGAGAGAGAGAGAGAGAGAGAGAAAGAGAGAGAAGAGGACCACTCTAGGGACTCTACGGATTCTGGAGATTGGGGATTGAATTTAGGTTGTTGGATTTGGGCACAAAGTGCTTTTACCTACTGAGCCATCTTGCTGACCCACAAGAGTTCTTATTCTAAAAATAAAGCCTCTATTTGCTGTAAGTTACAGATCGTTTTGTTTGGTAGGTACCCTTTCCTCGTGTGTTTTCCGGTAGGACTATCTCCTAAAAAGATGCCAGTGTCCACAAAAACCTATAGTTTGAATTTGCAGTATGTTCTGGAAGGGAACTGTAGGTGGTCTGTGGACTGGCCTACTTCATGTTTATAATATGACAAAGTATGTAATTTTGTTTCTGGCATATATTAAATAGCCATAAAATCCAGATGGTTACCTCAGTGGTGCCTCATCAGAAACACCTCCTTCCTGTCCATTTTGTTGAGTAATTTTTTTTTTCCTGTGATAGCTGTGGGGAAATCGTGGAGTAGGTGGTCTTGGGTTTGTTTAGCCAAAGTGGCTAGAAGATTTTTTTTTTTTTTTTACTTTAAAATCTGGTAAAATTTTCTCAACCTCTTCCTGCCCAGCATGAGCCTGTCTGAGCCAATTTCCAACCAATTTCCTTCTGACTAACTCTTTAAATACACGGACTAAGCAATAAAGCAGTTTGAGACTCTAGGCTCTGGGAGGTAACTCCAGGTTGCCACTGCTTCCCTTTTGAGAAACTCCCTCAAATCTTGAGGTCCCCTACACGTGAAGGAAAAAGGATTCTAATGAAAAACTGTTGAATTTGATGCAAAAAAGTAAAATGAGTTAATGTCACTGATTGTTGTACTGGCAATGTTATTTGACTGGATTGAAAATTTGAGTTTTGAGACATAGAAATACCTTTTTTTTTTCTTTTTTGGTTTTTTTTTTTTTTTTTTTTTGTGGTTTTTTGAGACAGGGTTTCTCTGTGTAGCTTTGTGCCTTTCCTGGGACTCACTTGGTAGTCCAGGCTGGCCTCGAACTCACAAGAGATTTTCTATTCGTTTTACATATCAACCACGGATTCTCCTGTCCTCCCTCCTCCCACCCCCCAGCCTCCCCCCCCCAACCCACCCCCCATTCCCACCTCCTCCAAGGCAAGGTCTCCCCTGGGGAGTCAGCAGACCCTGGTACATTCAGTTGAGGCAGGTCCAAGCCCCCTCCTCCCTGCACCAAGGCTGAGCAAAGTGTCTTAGCATAGGCACTATGTTCCAAAAAGCCAGTCCATGCACTAAGAACAGGTCCCAATCCCACTGCCTGGGGGGCCACTAAACAGTTCAAGCTAAACAACTGGAGACATAGAAATACCTTTTAAGGTACTGTGTTCTATACTCAATATACATTAAAAGCAGGGGGTAGATTTTCTTTTAGCATCAGGAAATTAAATGTTAACGCTGTATTACCTAGATGCCAATATAAGCAACTCTATCGTTTGAATAAGATGCTTTTGATGTTAAGTGAACTTCTAACATGTTATGCTGGAAATATCAAGTACTTCTTATCCGAAGAGATGTGGAATACATCATAATGTTTATTTATTTAAAATTAGAGATGATTGTTTGAGAAATTACCTTTCTATGCCATTTTATGTTCTCTTGAAAAGCACATAAAGCCCACATCAGTCATTCTTTTATTGTATTATGTATGTGTACATGATGTGTGTGTGTGTGTGTGTGTGTGTGTGTATGTATGATGCGTACACATGTGTGTTATGTGTGGGTATGTGTAGACTTCAGAGGACAACCTTGGATGTCCTTACCTTCCACTTTGCTTGAGACAGTCTCCTTGTTTGTCCTTGCATATACATGCCAAGCTGGCTTCCCTTGGAGCTCCCCGGGAGTCTCCTATCTCTTTCCATCTCGCCTTAGGAGGACCGGGATTACAAACCACTGCTAACCCCAGCTCCCTATGGGTCCTGTGTACTTGAACTCTGGGCCTTCCACTTGCATGGTAAGCAGTTCACCCACTGAGCCATCTCTCCAAACTTCTGGCAGTTCTTACAGTTAAAAAAACCAAAAACCTTTGTAAATAAAGCCGAACATAATAAAAATCAGTGCAGGGTAAGGATGGAAAGGAGGTGGGTGTTACCAAGGAAACTGTTGACCTTGTTGCTGACCTTTCTGACCAAAAGAGAATAAATTACACCAAAATGAAAACCTTGGCACTTACTTTTGCAAGAATATGGTTTTGCTCCATTACAAAGATACTTAGAAAACTAAACACTTGCAAGAAGCATTTCCCCCCCTTAGGATTGTATTCATAGAATAAGTGAAGTTCACATTCAGTTCCAACTCACCCACTCCCATTTTTCTCAGATATTTATCAAGTAATGTGGTTTATAATCCAAACAAAAAAAGTGCCTTAATCCAGAACATACACACGGCCACGATAACACTAGACTGATGCTGTTTGTACTTTGCTAAAACATTGAGATGTTCTCTAAAACAGAGTGGTGTGCACACATAAAGTCTAGAGTGTAAAGAATTATAACGGAATGATAAACATATCTGTGATTCTATCTAGCCATAGAATCAGAGAAACAGCACATTCCTGTCTGTCCTTTGGGGTGAACAAACTTAGAAAGAACCTGACTGTTCCCTTAAAAGAGGCCTGCCTCAGGACGTGCATATGTTTCCTTGTGTGGGAAAAGCACATTGACATTTACATGTAATTGAGGCCAACCTGGAATTTGGCTTTTATCCCTTCCTTCATAAGCCATTGTGGAAAGGCTCTTAGGATGGAGTTTAGTTGTTATGGCAGTCTCTTAAGAAGACTGAGTCAAAGAACAAAATGGAGCTTAATAGATGAATGTTAGGTACACCATCCTCCTTTATGTAACTCAGACCCCAGTTTCTTGGGGTATTGGGATGTGCTTGGTATATTTTTGTTGTAGACTTTGAACATTCTTACTAAGTTAATCATGTCGTCGTCACGATGAACTGAACTCCTTGAGGACAATGGACTTTGACATTTTAACCTATAACTTTAGGACCTCCCTCCTCTTCAGTCAATCCTCCTGAACCTTCCTAAGGGTTTATCAGGAGAACTATTGTAACTAACACGTCGTGTCGTCATCCATGAAGGTTAGCTGGGCCTGTAGGTGAAGTTAAGCAAATTAAAAGGAGCAAAGAAAACGGGAAATGTCAGTGGTACTTGTAATGTTGAAGTTGTGCTTTGATGGGCATTCAAGTTGTAAATTGTTGAAATGGGTCAAAATGCTCAGAATTGGACTGAATAAAAGCTAAAATCTGTGAGCCCCTTAATGTTCATAACTCATGGACTGGAACCCATATAGCTACACATACCTGTGATGTGTGATATGATACTAGTATTCTTGAAGCTGAGACAGGAGGATCAAGGGTTTGAGGCCAGCTTGGGCTCATAGTGAAATCTGGTCTCACAAATGAGACAACAATCATTCAGTCAATCATGGACTGAATATTTCACTACAAAGTGGAGTGCATTCAGAACAAGCAGCAAACAGTGGGAGTTGCAGGGCCAGTGTTGGTTTTGTTATTTGCATTTTTCTGTAACATACACTTTTGAGGAGCAATTCTCCATAGAACTCTTGCATTCTCTATGTCTATCTAAGTGAGGCATGTACCTAAACCATAATGAGCTGGGAATCTGGAAGAGAAGGTTTTCTTCGAGCTCCTCCTACTTGTCACAGAACAAAGGTCAAGTATGCACACAGTCTTGGAAAATAGTGTCTTCTCCCCAGAGTAAAAGCATGGTTACTACACTTGATTTAGAAAAATAAAGAAATGGCTATTCTAAATTCACATATTTTCCTTTGTAATAAAACCCACTGTGTGTACAAGTACCTCTTTGGACCTATTGCCCCTACCATCTTAATTTTCTACTGATTATCATGCTGCTTGCTGGACATGCATTATAAAATTCCTTGTACATGACTCAGGAGGCTCATATCTTCTGCCAGAATCCATGAAACTGGCCGTTAACTTACTGGGTTGTAAAAAGCAAAGTCTTGGACCCCTTACAATTCTGACAGTTGGGTGATGAGGGTAGGATGCCGACAGAGATGTTGCTCACTGGGAAAGGATGAGCTTTTTGGCCTAATAACAGGATTTGAAAGAAATCCACAGGGATTGCTAATAAGCTTCCAGGGCCAACCAGG